TCCCTCCCTTCCCTCCGACCTTCCGGGCATCGCGATGAACGGGGAGCACCCGTGGGTGCGGGGGGGTCCCCGGCCGTGCGGGTACCGGGGGGTGGAGGGGGGGGACTGGGGCGGGCGGCGCCGCGATGGCGGCGAAATGGCGGCGGTCTCACCCCGAGGGCGCGGTGAGGGGCTGCCCGCAGCTGCTCCCCATCCCCGGCTCCGGATTCACGCGTGGGGTGGGGGCGGCGGTGTGAAGCGGAGGGGGGGCAGCGGGCTCTGCTACCGAGCCCCGCGTGGGCTCTGCGCCGTGCGGGGCGGGGGGAGAAGCGCCGTGCGGGGCGCAGCGGCGGTTGCGCGGAGCGGCCCCGCGGGAGCGGTGCGGCGCTGCCCCGGAGCTGTGCGGGGCTCCGCGACCCGAGGGGGTCCCGGGGCCGAGCGCTGCTCTCCGCCGCTCAACGCCGCGCTTCCACCGCCCCGCAGATGTCCACCTATAAGCGGGCTACGCTGGACGACGAAGACCCCCTGGATTCCATCAGCGAAGGCGATGGGTACCCCAACGGGTTCCAGGTAGGGACCGGTTTTGGGGAAAAGGGGAAGATTGGGGTCCCGGCAGCGGGAGGCCGCGTTCCCCGGGCTGGGTGAGACCCCCCCCTGCAGGACGAAGTCCGGTGCCGCCTCGCTGCACTCTCCGCCCTTTGCTCCCGTCCCCGCTGGCACCAGTGGGGCTGCGCCTCTGGGCTTGTGGGGCATCGCGTGGGACGTCCATTCCCTGGGGGAGCCATCCTGTAGGGCATCCATCCCATGGGGCATCCATCCATCACGGGGTAACCATCCCTTGGGACATCGTCCGTCATGTGGGATGCCCATCCCGTGAGATATCCATCCCACGGGGTCAGGCCCACCTCAGCCATTCCCGTGGTGCCGTGGACCCATCCTGGCCCAGCAGGGTGGGCAATTACCGCGGGAGGGAACTTTGTCCCCGCACAAAGGGGATTTTAGGCTAATTCCTCCTCGAGCAGTGGGAAAGCAGCTTAATGAGGGCAGTTGGCGGCAGGAGAAGGGCTCTCACAGGGAAAGGTTCAGGGTCGGAACTGTGCTCCTGGCACGGCGCTTTCCACCTCAGCCCACAGCAATGTTTCCAACCCCAAAATCGGTGTTTTCGTCCCCACGATTCCCCACACCGTCACATCGGCCGTGCTTCCTGGGGATGTTGTTGGGCACAACGGGAGGATCCCATTCCACCCAGCGCCGGGACCGCCGGGCTGGCCGAGGCCATGGGGTGGCACAGGGCGGCAGGTGATCCTATGGCCGTGGCCGCGCTCTCCCCGCTCCCTTTCCTGCCATTGTGCCGCCCTTCCTGGCGGCTTTCTGGAAGGCAGCTGCGGCTTTTCCCAGGCTGGAACGCGCCCACTCCCTGTCTGGGGGCTGCTCGGTGCTGCGGGGTTTGTTAAGGGGAGAATGGCGGATGCGCCTGTGGGGTTTTCCCCACGTGGTGCCGACGGGGAAACGGCGCTGCTTTTCCCGCAGGTGAATTTCTCCAGGAGCAGCACGGGGTGCTGGGCCCAGCGCACACGCCCCGAGAAGCAGCTGGTGGCTGTGGTGGCTGTCCTGGCAGCCGTGCTGGGAGCGTGTCTGCTGGGGCTCATCCTGCAGTACCGAGCCCGTGAGTCCTGTGCTGCAACCTGAACCCTTGGGAGGGGTGCTAGGGGGCAAAAGGGGGATTCTGGGGGCAAGAGGGGGTTGGAGTGCTTGTCTTGGGGTGAGATTCCTGCGTACCAGGCAGGGAACTTGCAGCTCAATGAGATGCTCGGGCACAATATGGGATGCTCATCTGCATCCCTTACCCCAGGGCAGGATTCTCTGATGGGACAGGATCTTTCACCCCAGAGAGTGATGGTGGAGCAGCAGATAGGATAATTGGGTACAAGATAAGGTGCTCAGGTCCAGCACCCCAGGGCGAGGTGCTTGGGCATTGGGCGGGGTGCTCGCCTGCATCCCTAGCCCCAGCCCCACTGGGCAGGATGCTTGGGCACATTTCTGGCTGCATCCCTTGCTCTGGGGTGGGATTGAGAGCAGGCAGGCTGCTTGGGTATGGGACGGGATGCTCTCGCTGTCCATCATCCGGGGTGGAATGCTCAGGTGCAGGATGGGGTTCCTGCCCACATGCCTTGCTTGGGTGGGATGCTCGTGCATGGGGATGCTTCCCCACATCATGGACAGAACTGATAGGATGCTGGGTGAGCAGCGGGTGCCCTCTGGTGCAGCCAGGGGCTCCTTGTGCTGAGCTAGTTGTGCCCCCCAGGGCCGTCCGCCGTGTGCTTGTCAGAGGCCTGCATCTCTGTCACCAGCTCCATCCTCAGCTCCCTGGACCGCACGGTGAACCCCTGCGAGGACTTCTTCAGCTATGCCTGCGGCGGTTGGGTCAAAGCCAACCCCCTCCCTGATGGCCACTCACGCTGGGGCACCTTCAACAACCTCTGGGAGCACAACCAGGCTGTCATGAAGCACCTGCTGGGTGAGCATGGGGCTGTCTTTGGCAGCTCTTTGCAGTGGGGCTGCTCCCAGTGCGGCTGTTCTGGGGACAGGCCCTGGGCGCTGCCTCTGCATGCAAACACTGCAGTGCAGTGCCTTATCCAGGGGACGGTTTGTTCAAGCTCTGAGCAAACAAGTGCCCCTTATCAGCACTTTCCTCCGCGCCAGGCGCTGGGGTGGTTATCTGTGAACAGAGCTGCCTTCTGGGGACGGCTCTGTCCCAGCTCTTCCTGCAGCAATCTGAAGGCAGTGGGCCCCCGGCCAGCAGCTGCGCTCGGCATTTCCTTGCATTCCTCGGAGCCAAGGGACCAGGCACAAAAACTCACACATCTGGGGAGCCAGAGGTGCAGGCTGTGTTGTGAGGAGAGGAAAAACCCCAAGGAAGCAGGGTTTTAGGGAAAGAAAATAAAATATAGCTTTGGAGGCGGAGGAGAAAAATGGGTTTATTGTTCTTTCTTGTAGAAATAAATAACGCAGCCCGGGGAGCAAGCTGGGACTGCCAGCACAGGGGCAAGGGCAGCGCGGGGGGCTGGGATGCTGGGAACGGCGGAGTGCTGGAAAAATACTTGTTGTTTTTCTTTCTTTATCTCTCTCTTACAAAGAACTGGAGCTGCTGGAGAGGGGGCAGGGGCTGGGCTGGGGCTGTGGGACGTGCCAGGGGCACACGGAGTGATCCGTAGTGTCCTTTTGGAGCCGTTGTCCAAACTGAGCATTTGGCGGAGGGTTAGGGGCTCTGCAGCCCCCCCCGATGCCACGTGCCCCCACAAGCCGTCCTGGGTGCATCCTGCAGAGAACACCACGGCCAACGTGTCGAGTGAGGCGGAGCGCAAGGCACAGCGCTACTACCAGGCCTGCATGAACGAGAGCAAGATCGAGGAGCTGCGCGCTGCCCCGCTGATGGAGCTCATCGCCAAGGTGCGTCCCTCCCTGTGGAGCGGGCACCAGGAGCTGCCCTGCCATCCGCCAGGTCCTGGTCACACATCCCCGCACTGCTGTGCCTCACTGAGCGTCTCTCCCCAGCTGGGAGGATGGAACATCACCGGGCCCTGGGCCGGGGGGGACAACTTCAACGCGACGCTGCGGGAGGTGACGGCGCATTACCGCATCTCACCCTTCTTCTCCGTCTACGTCAGCGCCGACTCCAAGAACTCCAACAGCAATGTCATCCAGGTGGACCAGTCGGGGCTGGGGCTGCCGTCACGGGACTACTACCTGAACAAGACAGAGAATGAGAAGGTCAGGGTGGTAGTGGGGTAGGAAGAATAGGAATGACTGGGAGAGTTAGGTTGGTTGGAAGGTTTGGGAGAGCTGGGATGTCTGGAACGGTTGGAAGATCTGGAAGGGTTGGGAGGGTTGGGAAGATTGGGAGGATTGGAAGGGCTGGAAGGGTTGGGAGGGTTGGGGTTGTTGGGTGCTCTGGCCACATGTAGCTTTGGATGACGCATCGTCCCCTCACAGGTGCTGGCTGGGTACCTGAACTACATGGTGCAGCTGGGCATGTTTCTGGGCGGCACCGATGAAGAGTCAACACGGCAACAAATGCAGCAGATCTTGGAGTTTGAGACAGCACTGGCCAACATCACCATCCCACAGGAGAAACATCGGGATGAGGAGGTCATCTACCACAAGATGACAGCTGGAGAGCTGAAGGTAGGAGCATGGTGGGGCTGACGTGTCGCTGCAGCTTGGAGCAGGGCTGGTGGAGGGCTGACACAGCTCCTCCAGGGAAGGCCAACACCAGCCCAAACTGGGAAGCACTTGTGCAATAGCTTGGCCTGTTCTCCCACCTCAGCCCACTCCTCCCAGACCCCAGAGTGCTGATGGGACTGGCAGCCATCCCACTGAGGCGCAAACGCCCTCCTGGCTGCACTGCCCTGCAGACGTCAGCCCAACCACCTCCCCTCGTCCCCAAAGGGCCATCATGTGCCTTCCCCCCACTCCGCTGTCAGCATTTTCACACCCGCCTGGCTTTCTTTTCCTTTGTGGGAGGAAATTGTTTAGTCCCCTCCGACCTTCGGAGGATGCTGCTGCTATGGGAAATGGTTTCTTCAAAATCAGCCAAATCCATCAAACAGAGCTGATGTAACAGCCACCAGCTTGGGAAGAGGCTACCATTGCTAATAGCTCATAAGTCCTTAGCAGCAGCATGGCTTTTGCAGGATCTGGCACCGGCTGTGGACTGGATGCCCTTCCTCTCCACAGTCTTCTATCCTGTGGAACTCAATGAGTCAGAGCCTGTCGTGGTGTATGCCAAGGAGTACCTGGAGCAGGTCTCCGATCTCATCCTGGCCACTGATAAATGGTGAGAGCCCCCCCCCCACAAGGAGGGGTGCTTGGGGTTCGTCCTGCTCCCCGCTCACTGCCTCTTGCCACAGCCTCCTCAACAACTACATGATCTGGAACCTTGTGCGTAAAACCAGCCCCTTCCTTGACCAGCGCTTCCAGGATGCTGAGGAGAAGTTCATGGAAGTGATGTATGGGACGAAGAAGGTGAGTACCAATGCCTCCAAGTAATTGCGCTCCTACAGAACAGTGACGGCACGTTTTAGCAAAGTTCCCCTCTCATTGCATCCAAGCACGGACGTGGGCTGGGTTCTGGGGTCACAGCTCTGATAGGTGATGGGTGCAGAGCTAATGTCGTGGTGTGAAGGCTGGGGGGCTGTGGCCATGCTGTGCCTCCACTCATGGCTCCCTGTCGCCCTTGCAGACCTGCCTGCCGCGCTGGAAGTTCTGCATCAGCGACACAGACAACAACCTGGGCTTTGCCTTGGGGGCCATGTTTGTCAAGGCTACCTTCGCCGAGGACAGCAAGCAGGTGGTGCGTGTCACAGGCAGCGTGGAGCCCTGGTGCTGGGAAAGCTGGGTTATCCCAGCCTTCCTCCCCTCTATGCGAAGGGTTCTGTGTCAGTCCTTGGACTTTTTTGAATGGGAAGTCAGCTCTCCAGGCCAAAACACTCTGCTTTCTTTTGTCTAGGCAGAGGAAATGATTGCAGAGATTAAAACAGCCTTCGAGGAAAGCCTGGAGACCCTGCAGTGGATGGATGAGGATACGAGGAAGTCGGCCAAAGAGAAGGTGAGGCGCCGGTGGCAGCAGCGGGGAGGCCATCCTGTCCTCCCACCCCGGCACCAAAAGCACCTCTGTCCTTGTCACCTCAGGCGGATGCCATCTACAACATGATCGGCTACCCGAAGTTCATCCTGGACCCCAAGGAGCTGGACAAAGTCTTTAACGATGTGAGTTGCTCAGATAGATGATGTCCCCTGGGTCTCCTGTGCCAGGATGTGCAGGGTGTGCATGCCCATGGCCAGGCCCCAGGGCAGCCGTGAGCCCACATCCCCTGAGAAGGGTCTCGCTGTGTCCTTGGACCTTATTGGCTGGGGCTCTTGGGATCCCTGCCCGGACACTGAGGAGCCGGTTTCCGTAATGGTGATTCATGACCCTCCTGGGGCTCTACAGATGTTGGAGAGGAGGAGAAATGAGAGCAGCTGTAATTCAGCCAGCTCCAGAGGCTCAGATGTGACCACGCGGGGAGGAGTGGGGCCGGGCGCTCACTGCGTGCTGCTCACACCTTGCTCTTCTGCAGTACGATGCCGTGTCCGACCTTTACTTTGAGAATGTCATGCAGTTCTACAACTTCTCGGCCAGGGTCACGGCCGACCAGCTCCGGAAACCACCAAACCGGGACCAGTAAGTCCTCTTCCCTGCTTGGTATGGCTGTGCTCTGCTCCTCTGTTGCAGTCAGTGGGAGAATCACAGTACCTCCCTGCCCGCTGGAGCACTGGAATTTGGTTTTCCTGAAAATGCTTCTGCTGGCTGTGCTGGCTCTGGGAAATTAAAGCTGGGCTGACATCTCTGTGCTGTGATAAACGTGTGCAGCTGGAGCAAAGCGCAGCAATGCTTTGTGCTGCCACATCCTTGTCCCTGCAGGTGGAGCATGACACCTCCAACAGTCAACGCGTACTACTCTCCTACCAAGAATGAGATCGTCTTCCCTGCTGGCATCCTCCAGGCCCCTTTTTACACCCGCGCCTCTCCCAAGTGAGTTCCTGGGGAAAGCAGGGGAGGGCAGCATTCCCAGATTTCCTCCTTTGCCAAAAGTCGATGCTGAATTGCATGGCTGGGGGAGCAGTGGCTGCTCTCTAAACCTCCACGTCGCTGTCCCACAGGTCGCTGAACTTTGGTGGGATTGGTGTGGTGGTGGGCCATGAGCTGACACACGCCTTTGATGACCAAGGTATGGCCAGGGCTGGGTGGCAGAATGCTGACAGGGCAGCCAGCGGGGTGACAAGTGACCCGATATGTTTTTGTCAGGTCGGGAATACGACAAGGACGGCAACCTGCGTCCCTGGTGGAAGAACTCCTCAGTAGAGGCCTTCAAGCGGCAGACAGCATGCATGGTGGAGCAGTACAGCAACTACACCATCAATGGGGAGGCTGTCAATGGCAAGCACACCCTTGGGGAGAACATCGCTGATAATGGGGGGCTCAAGGCTGCCTACCGGGTAGGGCTGTGGGGCTGTGGCTGGGTGGCACGCTGCGGTTGGCTCTGTGCTGTCCCCTGAGCCCATCATGCTCCTCAACCTCCAGGCGTATCAAAACTGGCTGAAAAAGAACGGGGAGGAGGAGACTCTCCCGACCCTTGGCCTCACCAATCACCAGCTTTTCTTCGTCGGCTTCGCGCAGGTAGGCAGTGAGGATGGATGCATGGGTTTTTGGGGTTCCACCCATCCGTGGTTTTCCTTCTATCCATGGAAGCATGCGCCCAGATGGTTTTGGGAGAGCATGAAAGCAAAGCTGAGGTCTCCAGAGACAGCCCAGAGAAGGAGATCAGGGAGGTGCTGGTTGAAGAGCAAGTCAGGCTTGGCAAGAGTGGGGTCCTGCAGCTGCGGATATCAGCACTCGGCCTCTTGCCCTTTCTCACAGGTGTGGTGCTCGGTTCGCACGCCAGAGAGCTCCCACGAAGGGCTCATCACCGACCCGCACAGCCCCTCGCGCTTCCGCGTCATCGGCACTGTCTCCAACTCCTGGGAGTTTGCAGAGCATTTCAGCTGCCCCCTGGGCTCCCCCATGAACCCCCCCAGAAAGTGTGAGGTCTGGTGATGGGCGGGCGTTGGGATCCGGCCGCGTCGTCCTGTGCCGGCGGCCGAATTTCCCCATCCCTTTGAGAGGCTCAGACCACTTAGCGCAGCGAGCTGCCCGGCTCTCACTGGAGCAGCGTCCCCGGTGTCAGCCGAGGTCCGATGGATCCACTGTGAAAACTTCTCTTCCCCTCGCTTGTTTGTGAAATGACTTCGATGTGGGGAGGTTTCTGTCCCACGTGCCGGGGCGCTGCCCCGTATTTACACACGCAGTGCTAAGCCTGGCCCTAACAGGAGCCCAAACCCCGAGCCCGGCACCGTCCTCCTCCGAAGCATCAAGGGAATGCCGTGGCGCTGGCAGGCTGGGCTGTGTGTCTAAATACAGCCGGCACAACCTCCTCTCTCCAAAGATGCGCACACGAGGATGGTAAATATTTTGAGACGTATTTCAGGGCAGGGGAGGGTGGAGGGGAAATATATATATTTTTTTCATGCATTTTGGAATACACTGGAAAAGTTCAGGGAAAATACATTTTAAAGCCTTTTTTTTTTTTTTTTTTTTTTTTTTTTAAAGCAAAGAATTAGTATATTTATTATTTTTTTATACTCAGTGCAGCTGTAGACACAGCGCCCTGTGGTGACAGTTCCCAGCTGGGGAGTCCAGGTGGGTTGCGGCCAGCTGGCCCCATAGCCTATGGATCTCCAGGAGGGACCGTCCTTGGAGGATGCTGATGGGGACAGTGGGGACAGGGCCCAGGGATGGGGTCAGCGGAGCCCTGTCAGAGGCTGGATCACAGGAGGGCTCTGTTGGGATGCTGCAGCTCCTGAGGTTAGCTTTAATTTCTGAGTGCAAAGGGAAAAGTTGATGTGCCAAAGATGTAAGCGAGGTGAGAGTTGTGGTGGTGAAGCTGCTGGGCACTGCTTCTGCCTGGCCCGGATTCTGTCCCAGGTTCGCAGAGCGCCTGTCCCTGCAGGACAGGGAGCCCAGGAAGCAGCATGGCGAGAGCAGCTGCAGGGGTGGCCCTGCATCCCTCCCATCCCCGTAACGGGAGGTTGGCCACAGCCTCCCGGCCCGGTATTGCTCCAGACAAGTGCAGGCAGTCCTTGCTGCCATTTTGCTCGCTGCTGTGCCCCCGTGCCAGGGAGCTGTGAGCCCTGCACGCCCCTGCTTCATCCCAGCATGGCTGGGGCCGGTGCAAAGCTGGCAGGGTGGGCGCAGGGTCCTCCGGGGCTTTTTAATACTCTTCTTTGCAGTTTAGAAAAGAAACCACTGACAGTAGCTCAGGTGCCACATGTTGTCTTGCAGCACCTCTAGACAGAAAGCAAAGATGTAGAGGGATTTTTAATATTTATATGTAAAAGGGACATGGGGGGAATTTTTTTTTTGTATCTATTTTTTCACCCTACATGTGGAGCTTATCATAACTGAAATAAATACTTTTTACTGGGTCTGCAGGTGCTCGTGACTTTTATATTTATTTATTATTACTTTCTGGTAGCAGGGAGCATCTCGCACCCCACCTGCGTTTTTCTCCCCATCCTCTCTGTTTTTTCTGTGTGTCACCCCTCCTGTGCTGGACAGGAACATAAGGGCAGAGCACGCTGTTGGCTCACAGGCCCTCCTTGTTTTCCTGCAGAGCTGGAGACCAGCTGAGCTCTGCTGGAAATGGTGGCACGAACCCGCAGAGGGCGGTGGAGCTGAGGCAATGCTGTGTGCTGCGCCCAGCAGGATGGAGCAGAAAAGCTTTGGGCCTGGTTGTGGCTCCAGCTGCTGCCTGCTTAAAATGTGGCAAAATGCAGCAAGTTCCACAGTACTTCTGCACTTCTCCAGAGCGAGCTTTGCTCCGCACACAGCCTGCTTGTGTCTGCTGTCTCAGTTTGCATGGGGTGGACAGCCCAGCACAGGAGGGGTTTGGAGGACAAGCGGCAGCTTGCACGGGACTCCCCAGCCTGCTGCTGCTGTTTGCCCACCTTGGGGCTGGCACGATCCTGGGGTGACTCAGCTGCTCACTGCCACTGCCTGCCGTGGGCCTGCCTGATCCTGGGTGGTAAAACCTGGTTGTTTTGCATCAGCCGTGCCCTGTGGGGCTGAGCCCAGGTAGGAGGGGGAACCAGCGTATGGCCTGGCAGGAAAACAGCCCTTTTCCACTAATACCCCAATTTCCACTGGTTCCCCAAGCCACTAAGCCTTCTGAATCATAGAATGGCCTGGGTGAAAAGGACCACAATGATCATCTAGTTTCAATCCCCCTGCTATGTGCAGGGCTGCCAACCAGCAGACCAGGCTCCCAGAGCCACATCCAGCCTGGCCTTGAATGCCTGCAGGGATGGGGTTCCACAGCCTCCTTGGGCAACCTGTTCCTTTTCCTAAACCCATCAGCAGCTCTGGCACTCTTTGTTGTGAGCACCTCTGGCTTGCTGATGTTGGTGAAGAAGCACGAAAGTGCTGGTGGGGCTGAAAAACCATTGTCAATGCCCAGGTGCTCATCCAGCAGCAGAACGGATGGGAGGAAAAGTTCAACGGAGGCAGAGGAAGGGCACGGATCCAGCCGGCACTCGTTCAGGCTCGCCAAACCTGTGGGTTTTGTTGGCCAAATGCTGTGTGGGGTCGTGTTGGAGAGACGCGGGTTGTCTGCTTTGTCCTGGGAGGAGAAAAAACAACCAACAGCAGTGGTGAAGCAATGGTGCCTGGGAGGCATCAGCTGTGTGGAGCTCCAAGGCAGGGCCAGAGGCTTTGGGACACAAACTGGTGAAAACGCTCCTGCTGGTTTCTTGTGATTTTTGTTTTCTTCCCCCCCCCCTTCCCCCCCTCCCCCATTCTAAACAGGCAAAAAGCTGCGATGCATCTAAAGATGCTTGAGCTCTTTCACAGCTGTGTTTACAGGCAGCTATTTCTGTAGAGCACGGGGAGCCATAGATGTCAACTTGCACTCAGTGCTAATTTCCTCCCGCACGAAGGGCTGCTCCAGGGGCAGTGCCACGCTCGGAAGGCAGTCAATGAGCACCAAATCCCACAGACCACGCAGCTGTGCCTCCAAACGACCGCAGCCCAATCTTTACGGGGCAGCGCGGCGATGGCGGCGGCGCGGACGAGCGCAGGATCCCCGCGGCCCCACACACCGCACCGCGCCGCGCCCCGCACAGCCGGGCGGTGCCGAAGTCTTTCCGCAGCCGCTCGGCCGCCGAGCCGAAGGCGCCCGAAGCCGCCGCCGAGCCCTTCCCCGAGAGGCTCCGAAGAGCCCCGAGCGCCGCCCCACGGGGCGGGAATATCTCTTCCGAGCCCTTCCGAAGCTTCCCGAACTCCCTCATGTCCCCAGCCTCCGGAGCGAGCCGAAGTTTCCCGAGAGCGGGGGTCACGGGAGGCGCCGGACCGAGCGGGGGGGGGGGCGGGGAAGGGGAGCGGGGCGCGTGCGCCCGCGAAGGCCTCCGGAAGGAGCCGAGGTTTACCGAGAGCTACTCGCCGGCGAGCGGTTCCGGAAAGAGCCGAAGGTTGCCGAGCGCCGGCGGGCCGAGCGGCTCCGGAGCGGCCCGAAGGCGCCCGAGCGTCCGTCCTGCCGGACTGCTGGAGGCGGCCGCAGCGCCATGTTTGATGCTCCGCTACTTCAGTGAGGAAAATCCGCCGGCATCGCCCGAGAGCCGCCGCCGCGAAGGGCGCCGCCGCCCCCGGGGAAGGGCACCGAGACCCCCCGCCGCCGGCGGCCCATGAGCATCGCGGCCTGAGCCGCTCCCCCTCCCCCCTCCCCGCCGGCTCCGCGCCGTCCCCTCCCCGCGCCGAGCCCTCGGGAGCCGCGTTGTCACGGAGACCGGCGCCGGTGCCGGCCCGCCGCGCTGCCCCGGCCGCCGCCCCGGCCCCCGGCCCGCTGCCCGCTCCCGCGGCCCGGCTCCCCCC